CCAGCATGCTTTTGAGCATTATAGAGTAATAATCACTTGGCAAGTAGTCCTGCATTCAGCACCCTGCCTAACCCTCCACTGCCCTTCTCAATCATTTACCCCTAATTCCACTTGCCTTCTGGCTCAGAGCCAGATTGCTGTCCTTTCACCTTCCTGAGAGCTTAGTCTCTGTTGGCCATAGTTTAGATGTTGAGTTCTCTTGACTCCTGCTCACACCATGCTGCTTTCTGTGTTTTGTCTTATTCCTCCTCTACATCTCCCAGCCCTTCTGTAGGTGTTTGGGGTTTTGGATACCCAAAGTGCTCTTTCCCATATTCCATTATTAACATGCAGAGGAATGTTACTCACTTTCTAAATACTGAGTTGTGTGGTGTGTGTGTGACGTTCCCCTGGTGTATTCTGGACCGGTGATCTGCTAGGTCACGCCAATCCTCGACTTTGGGAGCCAGCCTTACTCTGCTCCTCTGTGAGAACCCCCACTCCCGGGCTGTTCACACACAGCCTCTAGCATGTTAGCGGCTCCCAGCTACGTCAGTGAGCACTTTTGGCCAGCCGCTGCTTGTATTGTGCAGCCAAATGACACTTGCCAATATCTCCAGTCCCAGACACAGCCCTAGGAATCTCCGTCTTGCAGTGTCCAGTTATGCCTGGTGGATGCTGCAAGCTTATAAACGTTAGTCCATTTAACAAAGAAATGGATATGTACCAGGCTTTTTATACCAAGGGGAGTCTCTGACATGCTTCAAACCAAATGCACTGCTTCAGGTAGAACAAACAAACAAATTTATTAACTACAAAAGATAGATTTTAAGTGATTATAAGTCACAGCACAAGAAGTCAGATTTGGTCAAATGAAATAAAAGCAAAATACATTCTAAGCTGATCTTAACACTTTCAGTGCCCTAATTTAAGGACAGACTTAGATGATTCTCATCACAGGCTGGTTGCCCTTCAGCCAGGCTCTCCCCTTTGATCAGCGCTTCAGTTGCTTGGTGGTGATGTCTGTAGATGGAGTTGGAAGAGGGAGCCAGCATGGCAAATGTCTCTCCCTTTTATCATGTCCTTTCTTCCCTCTTGGCTTTGCCCCCCACCGTCAGAGTCAGGTGAGGATTACGTCGTCATCATCCCAAACTGACCAAGGGAAGGGGAGTGACTCACTTGAGAGTCCAACAGATCCTTTGTTGCTGCCTAGGCCAGTGTCCTTTTTTCCTGTGAGGCTGGGTTTGTCCCATACATGCCCTGATGAGGTGTGAACTGCTCCTCTGCTCCTGGAGAATTATAGAATCAGAGAATATCAGGGTTGGAAGGGACCTCTGGAGGTCATCTAGTCCAACCCCCTGCTCAAAACAGGACTAATCCCCAACTAAATCATCCTAGCCAGGGCTTTGTCAAGCCTGACCTTAAAAACCTCTAAGGAAGGGGATTCCACCACCTCCCTAAGTAACCGATTCCAGTGCTTCACAACCCTCCTAGTGAAAAAGTTTTTCCTAATATCCAACCTGAACCTCCCCCACTGCAACTTGAGACCATTACTCCTTGTTCTGTCATCTGCTACCGCTGAGAACAGTTTAGATCCATCCTCTTTGTAACCCCCTTTCAAGTAGTTGAAAGCAGCTATCAAATCCCCCCTCATTCTTCTCTTCTGCAGACTAAATAATCCCAGTTCCCTCAGCCTCTCCTCATAAGTCATGTGCTCCAGATCATTAATGAAGATATTGAACAAAACCGGCCACAGGACCGACCCTTGGGGCACTCCGCTTGATACCGGCTGCCAACTAGACATGGAGACATTGATCACTACCCCGTTGAGCCCGACAATCTAGCCAGCTTTCTATCCACCTTATAGTCCATTCATCCAGCCCATACTTCTTTAACTTGGTGGCAAGAATACTGTGGGAGACCGTATCAAAAGCTTTGCTAAAGTCAAGGAATAACATGTCCACTGCTTTCCCCTCATCCACAGAGCCAGTTATCTCGTCATAGAAGGCAATTAGGTTAGTCAGGCATGACTTGCCCTTGGTGAATCCATGCTGACTGTTCCTGATCATTTTCCTCTCCTCTAAGTGCTTCAGAATTGATTCCTTGAGGATCTGCTCCATGATTTTTCCAGGGACTGAGGTGAGGCTGACTGGCCTGTAGTTCCCTGGATCATCCTCCTTCCTTTTTTTAAAGATGGGCACTACATTAGCCTTTTTCCAGTCATCCGGGACCACCCCCAATTGCCATGAGTTTTCAAAGATAATGGCCAATGGCTCTGCAATCACATCCGCCAACTCCTTTAGCACCCTCTGATGCAGTGCATCCGGCCCCATGGACTTGTGCTCATCCAGCTTTTCTAAATAGTCTTGAACCAGTTCTTTCTCCACAGAGAGCAGGTCCCCTCCTTCCCATGCTGTGCTGTCCAGTGCAGTAGTCTGGGAGCTGACCTTGTTTGTGAAGATAGAGGCAAAAAAAGCATTGAGTACATTAGCTTTTTCCACATCCTCTGTCACTAGGTTACTTCCCTCATTCAGTAAGGGGCCCACACTTTCCTTGACTTTCTTCTTGTTGCTAACATACCTGAAGAAACCCTTCTTGTTACTCTTAACATCTCTTGCTAGCTGCAACTCCAAGTGTGATTTGGCCTTCCTGATTTCACTCCTGCATGCCTGAGCAATATTTTTCTACTCCTCCCTGGTCATTTGTCCAGTCTTCCATGTCTTGTAAGCTTCTTTTTTGTGTTTAAGATCAGCAAGGATTTCACTGTTAAGCCAAGCTGGTCGCCTGCCATATTTACTATTCTTTCTACACATTGGGATGGTTTGTTCCTGCAACCTCAATAAGGATTCTTTAAAATACAGCCAGCTCTTCTGGACTCCTTTCCCCCTCATGTTATTCTTCCAGGGGATCCTGCCCATCAGTTCCGTGAGGGAGTCAAAGTCTGCTTTTCTGAAGTCCAGCGTCCGTATTCTGCTGCTTTCCTTTCTTCCTTTTGTCAGGATCCTGAGCTCAACCATCTCATGGTCACTGCCTCCCAGGTTCCCATCCACTTTTGCTTCCCCTACTAATTCTTCCCTGTTTGTGAGCAGCAGGTCAAGAAGAGCTCTGCCCCTAGTTGGTTCTTCCAGCACTTGCCCCAGGAAATTGTCCCCTATACTTTCCAAAAACTTCCTGGATTGTCTGTGCACCGCTGTATTGGTCTCCCAGCAGATATCCGAGTGATTTGAAGTCTCCCATGAGAACCAGGGCCTGTGATCTAGGAACTTCTGGTTTTGCCTGGGCTTGTTTGAAGCCACGAGGGTACATTTTCAGCCTCATAACTATATGCATGAAATTATAACTTATAACATTACTATAACAACAATGCTCAGTGCATCATGAGCCTTCCGAAGTCACCCGACATGACAAACTTTGCATTGGATACCACACAATCATATTATAAGGATGAACATGGGGGTGCAGGGTGTTTCCCCAAGGTACAGAGTGTCACAGTGTGGTATGAGAGATTCTTATTTTTTTTCCTCTGTCTTGCATGTAAATTGTTTTGCTCCAAGTAAATCTTGGAGCCGAGATCAAGGGCCGTGGTCGAAATAGGACGTAGTGTACATGTCAGACAAGCCAGCAGAATCAAAATGCTCATTTACAGGATCTCCAGGACTGGCCCCTGAAGCAGCCCGGCTCGATACGATATCAATAATACATGACCTGGGCTTTCTATGCTCAAAGCCTGCTAATTGGCTAATTAAAAAGTGAAAGTGTTGAACGAGCAAACATGTCACTCTCAAGAGACTTGTTCTGTAGCAGAGCCAAGGTCAAGCTTGTGTTAACACTGTTTCATAATACTCACCTTTGTTATAAGCAATCCCAGAAGCTCGGAGGATGATTTCATAATCCTGGGCTTTCTGGTTGGTGTTTCTCACTATCACTTTGTCTACCGTCTGTGTCAGCATCTTCACTAAATAATGAGATATTCTTTTCCTGCCACATATCCTCTGTAAGTACAGTGGTGCCTGATATCAATGCCCATAAATATAAAGATCAGTGACTAGTATTCTGGGAGAAGCAGCTGTGTGACATGGAGTTCATGAAACTACTGGTTGACTTCAGGGAAATAATTGCTGGACAAGATTTCAGCTCGTGTCTCACTGTCATGATTTGTGGCCACGTGATTCTAGTGAGCTGAGCATGGTTTGAACCTCATGGGTCAGATTCTGCACTCCTCGTTCACCTAAGATTCCCACTGAATTCTATGGAAGTTTGTGTCCAAGGAATGCAGAATTGGGCTCCACTCAGTGATTAAACACTTTCTCATTCACCTAAATAGTAGGTACCTGCTGCTTCATGGCTCAGCTTAACTCTCACTTTAGGACTAAGCTTGAGACAGGAAGGGAATAGGAAGGAACCTATTATATAAACCCACTTGCAAGTAATAGCATTAGAACCACTACCTGGTAATCAGAACCAACAGAGAAATTCATTGTGAGTACTACCATGAATGTGTTTCATGTGAACCTGTTAAATGTAAAATAAGAGGATGGCAGCTCTGTGGGTCAAATGCTAGCACTGTGAGTTGGTATTCAGCAGAACAGGGTTAGAATTTCATCCTGGCTGAGGCTGCTTTGGAATTGGTGCACACAGCCCCAGAGGGAGAAGACATCCCCCTTTGTTACTCAGCAGTGACCCCTGCCAGCGGGTTAGGCAGAGCAGCCTGTGTTTATTGGAGAAATCCTGCTGAGGCGTGGCACATTTGGGAAGGGGTGTAGCCCCACCCCTGCCTGCCTGCATGGAGCTGCCCCCTTTATCTTGGCTGGCTTTTCCTTTTCGGAAGGCCAAAAGTTCTATTTTGTTCTATTTTCTACTGCCTGGCACACCGTCTTCCAGCCCACAGAGAACAAACACTTACTTACTCTTCTACAACAAACTGTAGTCAAATTGACATGGTACCTGCAGTAGGGCTTTTGTTAACAGTGATAAAGAAGGAAATGCTGTTGTGTAATTTGTGACCTTTCCACTCTCCTCAGATCGTGGACACCTTCTTTATTGGCCGCTACGTCCTGGTTTCCCTTCTCAGTGTGACGTTTCTGGGAAGCCTGTTCCTGGTTCTGGTTCACCATATCTTGGAGCCAGTGTATGCTAAACCACTCCGAGTTAACTAGCTATTATGAAGAAGGGAATTCCCCATGCTCCAAAGCAGACAATAAGTCACCAGTTGGGTAAAGAAAATATGCTCCCCAAATCTCTCCAGAAGTCTTTCTTCAAGTGCGGTTATGATACCTACACTGATATCCAGAATCAGCATCTGCTTTCTGAGGCCCTGGCATCTCCAGAATGAAGTTGTAGAATGTGTATGCTTTGGACTGGATAATTACCAAGAGCTGCTGCTGTGTTTTTCGAAGCTGAGAACTGTTTCCTGGCAGAGACAGGCCTGCTTACAGACTTTATCATGTGTCTCCAGTATTTGTTTCCAGGGGTATATCCATGATCTCTGTTCTATGGAAATTCAGCTGCTCTTGCTTCTCCTATGCCTCATCTACAGTTATAGTTCTGGCTGAAACTTCCTAAAAGATCTGAACCACTGGCGTCTAAAAGTCAGGCTGGACATCTTTCCAACATAGGAGGTGGTGCAGAATGCCATGATGGAGGCCTGTGCTGGTGCTTTTGGCTAAAAGTGGGAAGTGTGGAAATCCATAAATAAAAAGAGGGACTGAACTTGGAGGCTTTAGCCCAGTTCAGTTTGAACTCTGGGTGTCAGAAGTTTGGGTTGGTTTACTTTGCGTTTTTGTCATCGTAATCATTCTTGAAACACCTGAGAAATGATTTCAGAGGCAGAAGCAAGTGGAGAGGGTAAACTCATGGGAAAGTGAGATCCTATTTTTATGGCAATAAAGAAGCAGGAACAGGAAGAACCAAATAATGTTTCTCAGTTTCTCTGGCTTAGAAAGCACTGACGTGGCAGTTCAAATGTGTTGCTTATGCCCAGCTCTGAATCCAGGGGCTCTTTCAGAGACACTCTGGCACAAGCAAATGCATCCGTGTTGCCATTCTTGAGCTCGCTCTGAACTGGGGTTTACTTTGCCTCCTCCTTGTTCCCTTGGAGAGGGTGGGGGAGGGGATTGTGAGCTCCACTGTGCAGGGAGCTGAATATGCATGTCACTAGATATTCCCACCAGCATTTCAGGGAGGGAAACCTGATGCAGAAGGTGGAATCACTGAAGGGATTTGAAGGGAGGCTGGAGATGGCACCTAGGGACAGAATGGTGGGAGCAGATGGGGGAACCTCTCCCACATGCTCTTCTGGGGGCCGAGGCGATCTGGCCCTGAGCCCAGTGCAAGAGTGAAGTTTTGAAAAGCAGCTTGCATAAAAACATAACATTTGAAAAATGCTGCAGGAGGAGGCAGTGGAGGAAACTGTAGGACATGCTGCTTTCCATGCATGACTAGGCTACCTGGCACCAAACTTCCTACTGTAATAAAAACCATCTTTGGGCTGAGATTGAGCCTGAGAAATTGTAGCCCAGAGGGTATTTTTCCCCAGACGCATTCAAAGCCCTGTATAATGTATGTGCTACCTTAGACACTTCCCTAACACCCATGGCACTTGGCAAAAACAGCAATTGTGTAGCTAGAGCATTTTAATAAAGAAATCACACATTCATTTCAGGGCTAGGCTTTGTCATCAGCTCTTTTCCTCCAGGTATTGCTTTGCACTATGTTTTATTTAGTGAATTGTATTTAATGGATCCCCAAGGGCTTATTTGTTGCCCTCCCTTCCTTCTTCATGCAAGTGGGAAACTAATGAGTCCCTCTGAGAAGCCACTGGCTGACTAGTTCCTAAAGGACAAAATAAAGATTGTGTTTTTTTAGCAATTTGATGACCGTGCCAGTCCCTATAACTGTGGAGGGGCCTTCACTTATGAAGGCTGGAGCTCTGGTGCCACTCATGCTCTTGGAAATTTGCCTTTTTGTGCACCAGCTGGTGATTGGCGTGCAACTTTAGGCCTGGACTCTCCAAAGGCATATTGGTATTGGCCACTTGGGCCTTTCCAGTGATGTTGTAGCCACGCACCTGCTCCCAGTGGGACACACTAGACTGCTCAGTATTGAAAGGGGATGTGACTAAAAAGTTCCAGTAGGACAAGCTCCCTCTGTGGTGCTTTGGGGAACTTCCTGCCATCCTCATTGTTCTAGAAGGGAAAGTAACAAACGGTTCTTTCCAAAATTAGAAATGAGTGAAAGTAAGAATTGTCATGTAATTTAGGGCATATTGCTCTTGTGACATTTTCTGGGCATTTTAGGGGCAATGTAGATGTGTGTGTTTTTCAAACACTGACTCAAACAAAAGTACAAAGCGGCCCTTTCCAGTGAGATTCCTGCTCATAATTCAGGCAGCGTAGCCAAGAGGGTAGGAGTTGGTTTTATCTTCTCCTTTGTGGGGAGGAGATGGGGTAGGATAGATCATGAGAAAAAACACATCGTTTATATAAACACCTGACGCCTCTGGCTCCAGCCATGTATGGAAAGTCAGCCAGTTCCACTCCGCTTTCTGGGCTGCCCGGGTCAAACTGTAGCAGAATGGCCCAGGGAGCATTTTATGTTCCCAGAAGCACAACACACTCACAAAGGGCAAACTTCTAATGCAAATGTTTTGCATATGTCCTATGTTCAGCTATAGGTGCACCGCACAGGTAGGTGAGACTAGTCTTTGTGATGCCTCTAAGCTATAGTGTACCACCACCCAAGGAATGCACGCTCTGTTGCTTATTGTTTAGTTACGTACTTGCATCATATCTGCCTGTTCTTACTAATACAATACTAAATGCCACCCCTTTCCACTGACTGTACCTAACTACTTCTTTCAGGCCATGAAATAGCCTTGCTGGTTTTACTTACACCATGATTCCTCCATCACTTGCAATTTTCACAGTCTAGCCTGCCTGAACTATTCCTAGTTCCTGTGGATGGAAAGATCTCCTTTTGCTGGCATTGGCTGCAGAAAGCTTGTCATTTTTTTGGTCAGAGAACAAGTGGGGAAGCAACCCCTTTCTTCTGATGAAAGCGCAAAATCAGATGGAGAGGGCTCTGGCGAATGAACTTCTGACTAGATTGTATAACTTCATTGAAAAGTACTTGGCCCAGCATTGAATGAGGAGGGGACAAAAATCAAAGTGATGCTAAACTGGCTAAGCTGAAACTTCACCTCTAACAAGAAGAATATGGGGGAAAGGGTGTGAACAATCCTGAAGTACTAAAATAGCCTGGAAAAATTCCTGATAGTACTTCAATATTTTAAATTCATTGGCTGACACCATGGAAAGCTGGAGATGTAGCAGCAGATTGGAAAATACAAAATGACACCACCTTGCAGAAAAGGGAAAAAAGTGTTCCTGGCAGTTACCATCTGGTAAGCCTAGCTTCAGCCTAGAGTAAGTCAATAGGACCAAAGTCTGTAAGCAATGGGGGTGTGTGGAACAATCCCCAGTAGGCAACATAGCTTTGCGAAGTCTAACAAGCCACCATCCTCCGTCTGTTCCCTTCACTTCTGTGATGCCTACAAGGGCCCTGTGTACACGAAGGACATTTTGCAAAACTTTATTATCTCAGTTCAGCCTCATTGGGGGTAGCAGCATTGAGAACCCTAGTGCAGATGGGTTGTTGTCTGCTGTCAGCATTTTAACCACATGTTGGTTGGACCTGCTGTCAGCAGGAGAAGTTGGAAGAGATGTCAGAATGCTGAAAATACTAGTAGCATCCAGCAGCTCCTCTGTAGTATGGCGTTGAATGTTCCTACCACACCCAGCTGAAAAAGTGTTAGCAAAGGTGTAGTAGACAAAGCCAAAAAGTCAGGCAGTGGTAAGCTCATTCGCTGCTCTGAGTCTTTGCTCTGTCTGCATAGCTCAGCCTGCAAGCTCTTGGAAGCAGGGCTGTCTGTATTCTCTGTGTTGCATATCATCAAGCATATTGTTGGTGCTTAAATGATAATGAAAAGAATGCTACAGCTTCAGTGTAACTCAGTGGTCACCAACCTGTCGATCGTGAGCGATTGGTTGATCCTGGAGCCTCTGCAAGTCAATTGCAATTTCCGGGCTGCTAAAAATCCGGTGGCACACAGGGGCTCAGGCAGGCTGCCTGCCTGCTGTGGCCCCACGCCGCTCCCAGAAGCGGCTGGCTGCTGGCACATCTCTGCGGTCCCTGGGGGGAGGGAGGCAGTGGGTCTCCACACACTTCCCCCACCCCCAGCACTGTCCCCGCAGCTCCCATTGGCCAGTTCCCAGCCATTGGGAGCTGCGGGGGTGGAGCTTGCAGGCGCAGGCAGCGCATGGAGACCTGCTGCTCCCTCCCTCGGAGGGGCCGCAGAGATTTGCCAGCCGCTTCTGGGAGCGGCATGGGGCCACGGCAGGCAGGCAGCCTACCTGAGCTTCCCTGCGCTGCCGGCCGGGAGCCGCCTGTGGTAAGCGCCTCCCAGCCAGAGCTTGCAACTTGCACTCCCTCCCACACTCCAATCCCCTGCACCCCCCGGGGGCCCCCCCCCCCCCCGCATCCAAACTTCCTCCTGGAGCCCACACCTCTCACCCTCTCCTGCACCCCAATCCCCTGCACCAGCCTGGGGCCCCCTCCTGCACCAAACTCCCTCCCAGAGACCACACCTCTCATCCTCTCCTGCACCCAAATCTAGCGCACCAGCCTGGAGCCCCCTCCTGCATCCAAACTCCCTCCCAGACCCCTCACCCTCTTCTGCACCCCAATCCCCTGCACCAGCCTGGAGCCCCCTCCTGCACCCAAACTCCCTCCCAGACCCCTCATCCCCTCCTGCACCCCAATCCCCTGCACCAGCCTGGGGTCTCTCCCGCACCAAACTCCCTCCCAGAGACTACACCTATCACCCTCTCCTGCTCCCCAATCCCCTGCACCAGCCCAGAGTCCGCTCCTGCACCCAAACTCCCTCCCAGAGCTTGCACCCCTCACTCCTGCACCCCA